GTTTGGAAAACAAGTCCTGCCTTCAGAAAGGGAACTGGGCAGTGGGTGGGGTTGGGGTGGGGCTAAAGAAGGGGTCCTGCCCCACAGAGGGAGCAAGGTTCTGGGTAGGGTAGCACTTCTAGAGGGAATGAGCAATGGGCTGAAAGGAAGAGGGACCTGTCCTTCCAACTAACAGACTCCACCGTAAGTTACAATGATTAAAAAAACAGGGGGCGGGAATTTCCTGACGGTCCAGTGGTTAGGACTCTGAGCTTCCACTGCTGGGGGCCTGGGTTCAATCCCTGGTCAGGGAACTAGGACCCACAAACCATGTGGCACAGCAAAACAAAAAAATAGTGTGGCATTGCCGCAGGAACAGAGAGAGATCCATGGCACAGAATGAGTTAGGAATAGACTCGTGTAATGTGAGGCTTGCAGTGTGGTATAAAAGTGTTATCAGAAATCACTGGCAAAAGAACAGACCCTTCTATAAGTGTTCAGGGCAATTAACAACTCATTAAAAAGAAATTAAGTTAGATCCTTACTTGACACCATTCACCAAGATAAATTCCAGATGAATTAACATAAATATCTATAAGTATGTTAGAAAAAATATAGGATAATGTGTTGATGGTGTTGGTTTTCTTAAAGTAGACACAGGAAGCAAAAACCAAAAGCAAAAGACTAAAAAAAAAAAAAAAAAGCAAAAGGCTGCTAAATTTGTATTAAATATCAAAATGTATGACAAAAGCAGTTTTGTTCATAATTGCTAAAACTTGGAAGCAACCAAGATGTCCTTCAATAAGTGATGCATCCATATGGTGGAATGTTATTTAGCAATAAAAGGAAAAGAACAGGGCTTCTCTGGTGGCGCAGTGGTTGAGAGTCCGCCTGCCGTTGCAGGGGACACGTGTTCGTGCCCCGGTCCGGGAAGATCCCACATGCCGCGGAGCGGCTGGGCCCGTGAGCCATGGCCGCTGGGCCTGCACGTCCGGAGCCTGTGCTCCGTGACGGGAGAGGCCACAGCAGTGAGAGGCCCGTGTACCGCAAAAAAAAAAAAAAAAAAGGTAAAGAACAAACAAGCCATGAAAAGATAGGGGAGAACCCTTAAATCCATATTGCTAAGTGAGAGAAGCCAATCTGAAAAGGCTACGTACTGTGTGATTCCAACTACATGACATTCTGAAAGCACCCCAGCTATGGAGACAGTAAGAAATCTGTGGTTACCAGGGGTTCAGAAGGAGTGGGGAGGGAGGGATGAACAAGTGGAGCACAGGGGGTTTTAGGGCCGTAACTACTGGACACAGTAATGATGGATACATGTCGCTATGCGTTTGTCAAAATCCATAGACTGTACAACACAGAGTGAACCCTAATGTAAACTGTGGATTTCATTAATAATAATATATCGCTATTGGCTCATCAACTGTAACAAATATACACTCTGTTGAAAGATGTTAATCATGGGAGAAACCGTGAAGGCAGAGAGAGGGGGCATTTAGGAACTCTGGAACTCTCTGTATTTTCCACTTAATTTTCTGTAAACCTAAAACTGCTCTAAAAAATAAAATCTGGGACTTCCCTGTTGGTCCAGCGGTTAAGAATCCGCCTTTCAATGCAGGGGACTGGGTTCGATCCCTGGTCAGGGAACTAAGATCCCACATGTCGCGGGGCAACTAAGCCCGTGTGCCACAGCTACTGAGCCCGCGTGCCACAACTACAGAGCTCGCACGGCACAATGAAGAGCCCTCATGCCACAAGGAAGGCCTGATGAAGCCAAATAAATAAATAAAATAAAAAATAAAATAAAATCTATTAGTGAAAAAAAAAGTGCTTTTTCCCCTGTGCTGTACAGGGGGAAAGACAAGCAGTAAGCTATTTGGAGTCTATACAATAGACAGGTTTAGTATCCAGAATACATAAAGAATTTCTATCAGTTGATAAGGAAAGATTTTTAATAAAAGGAAATTGACAAAGGATACAGACAAGCACAGTCATAGAAGAAGAAATAACAATGGTTAATAAATAACATGAAAAATGCCCAAGCTCACTAGTAATGAGGGAAATTATAAAACTTAAAACAATGTTGAGGTGTCATTTTTTACCATGCAATGGGCAAAATTGTTCATGTTTTATAACATCAAGTATCGATGAGGATTTGGGTGAGGACTCTCACGAAGCTGGCGGAAGTACGACCAGGTACCTCTGCTCAGGAGAGGAGTTCACTGACGCTGATTAAAATTTAAAATGCACACGCTTTACGACCTGGCAATTCCTCTTGTTCACGCTGGAGACATACTTGCTTGTCCACACAGAGAGACTTGTAGAAACGTGTTCATTGCAGCATTGCTTAGAGAGCAAAAAGCTGGAAATGACTTAAATACCATCAACTGATTGGATAAATAAAACATGGTGTGTCATTATCAGGGAATCTTATGCATCAGTTCCAAAGAATAAGGTACGTCTGTTATGTACCTCTTGGAAGTTGACCAGGAATGGTGTCAAGTAAAGATAAATAAGATACCCACGTGGCTCAGCCCTTGTCTCCTTCTAACAAACTGAGCCAAGGCAGAGGGGACCCTAGAGGCTTCTAGCATACCTGCCGGGGTATGACTGAGGATGGGGTCTAAGCCTGGCAGAGACAGCTGGGGAAGGCTGAGCCTTTAGGCGATCTCTGGGGGCCTCAGCACCTGTCACAGTCACCCTCTCCCTGGATTTCCTGACTCAGGTGCTCCCCACCAGCCCTGGAGAGCAGCTGTCATCTGAGGCCAGAGGTCCCTGAGGGGCTGGCCCCGGCCCAGAGATACAGGCAACCAGCTCGGAGTCCTCTGTCTCCGTGGGGCCTGGGGTCAGGTGGCTGCAAGGAGACAGGTGTGCTGCATCCTGCTGGCTCAGCTCCCGAGACCCGACTGTGCACACCTCTTGTCTACTCCGCTTTCAGTGACATTACACGGGTAGCTTGAAATTGGCCATGGTGGGATTATTCACACCATGGAAACTGGCAAACGCTACAAATCATAGCTTTTTTTCTCTCTCTCTCTCTCTCCCTCTTTGGGGAACCTGGTGTTAAACATTTACCTTCACACCATGACAACTCAGGGTGTCCCCCTTTGCCCTCACACCTGCCCGCAAGGCTGGGTTTCAGGACTCGGTACCTCACTGCCTCTTTACTTCTGTCTTTCCTTATCTCTACCCCTTCTCTCCTTATCTCCATCTCTTCTCTCGTCTCCATAGGGGAAAGGGTGACTGGGGCAACAGGGGAGGACAGACGCATTCTAGGCAGCGTGGGAAGAGCCCTGGCTTTAAGGGCATTTGGATCTGGGCCCCCGTCACAACTAAGCCATCTACTCCCTTTGTGACCTGGGACAGACTTGACCACTCTGAACTTCTGTTTTCTCACCTGTAAAATGGGAATAATCATATTCAGGACTACTATATACAGCCTTGGAGGTGTGGTTCTGCTTCAACTCCAGGGAGTGATGTGCACATAGACTGAGACATGAATGGAGCCCTATGGAGATGTGCAGTGGGCAGCCTGAACAGCGGTACATGGCCCACATCATCATACTTACTTCAGAGGGTTGTCATGAAGATTAAAAGATAATTCTGTAATGGAGGTGAACGAGTCTGACAGAGTGCCTGGCACACAGTAGGTGCACATGCATTGTTGGTTTCCTTCCTTCCTCTTGTCGTCTATCTCTTCCCTCCTCATCAATACCGTATCACTCCATCTGAAAATTAGGTCCACGCCAGTTAGCCCACAAAGGCTCCAGATGCCATAGTCCACACGAGCAATGTCCCCAGGTTCATAATAATCCTGGTAACTGTAACGATTGCATGCCCGCTGGGCAGCAGATGTGGAGGCTGCCTTGCTTCATTTCAGCCACTTTTCACCTTACTTGTCATAATCCTCATCTTAGGGTTGAAAGACCTGAAGCTCAGAAGAGTGAGGTGCCTCGCCCAGGGCCACACAGTGGAAACGTGGTGGAAAAGGATTCCCACTCAGATCCCTTGGAATCAGAGTTCTCCCAGCCAGTGGGTTTCAAGATTTTTGACATAAGCATGGAAAAACATTTCATATTACAATCACTGTACACACGCACGTGCGTGCGCGCGTGGACACGCACATGTATAGAACAGAAAAGTTTCACAAAACAATATTTACTTCTGCTACATTTGATGGTATCAGATATCTGTTCCATTCCACTCTTGTTTATTTTTTTAAATTTTTTTAAATTAATTAATTAATTTATTTTTGGCTTGTTGGGTCTTCGCTGCTGCGCGCAGGTTTCTCTAGTTGCGGGCTTCTCATTGCGGTGGCTTCTCTTGTTGCAGAGCACAGGCTCTAGGCACGTGGAGCACAGCATATGGGATCTTCCCGGACCAGGGCTCAAACCGGTGTCCCCTGCATTGGCAGGCAGATTCTTAACCACTGCGCCACCAGGGAAGTCCGTATTTGTTTGTTTTAAATGCTGGTTGCAATCCATGAAGTTGACTTCACAATCCACTAGTCTAGTGAGTCAAGACCTGCGGTTCGATCAACATTCTCTAAGCAGCTTCTCCCAAATGACCTTCTAACACAGGTATCAGCAAACTCTGGCCCACAGGCTAAATCCAGCCCAAGGCCTGCTTTTGTAAATAAAGTTTGATTGGTACACGGCCATGCTCATCCCTTCATGTACTGTCTGTGGCTCCTTTGTGTTGCCACAGTAGAGTTGAAACCCAGAAAGCCTAAAATGTTTACTTATCTGGTCCCTAACAGAAAAACTTTGCCCATCCGGAAGCAGATCTGACTCTGTGTCTCCCTTGTTTACATTTCTCCAGGGTCTCCCTTTGCCCTCGGGCTCAACTCAAACTCCTTGGCAGGCTTAGAAAACCACCGCCCGCTGGTCTTCCGTGTTCCAGTCCTGCTGCCTGTCCTTCCCTGGGGGTCCATGCTCTCCCCAGCACTAACAGGCCCCTGGTGGGTAGACAGAGCCCCACCTTGCTTCCTGACACCTTGTCCTGCTCCCCCCTCACAGGCCTCCTGGGAATGGTAGCCCACATGATGTACACGCAGGTGTTCCAGGTCACCGTGAGCCTCGGCCCTGAAGACTGGAGGCCCCATTCCTGGGACTACGGGTGGTCCTTCTGGTAAGTGGCTTTTGACTTTCAGACACCAGAGCCCCGAGGCATGCTGGAACTTCAGTAGCTCAACCCAATTGGGAAACAGGAAGGTGGGGCGTCCGGGGGGAAGCCCGGAGTCCAAAGATGCTTTGAGATCCTAGAGCTGAGGTTGACAAACTATGGCCCCTGGGCCAAATCCAGCCCATCACCTGTTTTTATGTAGCCCTCAACCTAAGGATGATTTTTACATTTTTAAAGGCTTGAACAGATGAATCGAAAGAAAAATATTTGGGGACATGCGAAAATTATGGGAAATTCAGATGTCAGTGTCCATAAAGTTTTCTCGGGAAATTCAGATTTCAGTGTCCATAAAGTTTTCTCGGGATATAGCCAAGCTTATTGTTTACATATTGTCTACAGCTGCTTTCACGCTACAATGGCAGAGCTGAGCGGTTGTGACAGAGACTGAATGGCCCACTAAGCCTAAAATATTTACCATCTGGCCCTTTACAGATAACGTTGGCCAGCCTCTGCCTTAGAGGCTGCTCTGCAAGGTGGGATGGAAGCTGTTGAGAGCCCAGTGAAGGGTTCTGACTGTAGGGGCCAGCACCTCAGAGCACGGTGTGCAAGAGAAAGGCAGAATCCGTCAAGATTCTTTGGCTTGTGAGTGATAGAGTCCCAAGCTTAAGTAAACAGGAGGTGTGTATTAGTTCATGGAACTGAAAAGCCCAGTTGGCTCAGCTGGGGGTGGGGGCATGGTTTGTAACAGAAAAACCCACCCAGCTCAGTCCAATCAATGAGGAAATACCTTGGTTCCTGTAAATGGAAAGTGCAGCTTGGCATGGACTTCAGGGAACGTTTGATCCAGAGTTTTGGATATCATCAGGGCTGAGTTTTCTTCCTCTGTGATCACCTGAGCGTTGCCCACTCCCCATGTTACCTCTGTCCCTGGGTGGGCTTCCCTCCTAGTGGTGAGAAGGCTTCTTTGAAGCTGGTGCTTCTTCCTCCACATACAGAGGGGGAAAGAGCTCTTTCTCTAACATTCACTAAAGTCGCAAGCTTCCCTCTGATAAGCCCAACTGAAGTCATTTTCTCTCTTCTAAATTGTCACCATGGCTGGGGGAGTGTCATGAGCACATTGGCTCAGCTGGACCATTCCTCTGGAACGAGGAATGAGTCCAAAACTCTCACATGGTAAGTGGGTGGAATGGATGCTGGGTGAGCTACCACAATGTCTGCTTCAGGCACAGCTGGATCCAGGTGGTCAGGTGATGGATCAGGAACTCAGTCATTCTCTCCCCACTTCTGACTCCATTCTCTTTGTGGCGGCTTTATTCATAAGCAGCTTTTCCCCAGGTGGTAGCACATGTGGTCACCAAGCCCAGTTCTAGGCTTACATGTTACAAATGTAGCAATACCAGCAGAGAGTTGGGGCCTCTTTCCAATGTCGCCAGACAAAATCTTGTTTATGCCTTTCACTGAGTTAGCTTAAGTCATGTGACCATACTGCCACCAATGATTTAGACCCTGAGGAGACTCAGCTGCTCTAACTGTCTGGCCTAAGTCATGTGGTGCAGAGGGTGGGGTTGCCCCATCCAAACTCTTGGACAGGAAGATGGAGGAGAGGTCCTCTAATGGATAACTGGGGGTGGGGCAAGGGCGGAGCGAGGTGTTCTCAAAAGGAGGAATGTGCACTGGCAAAGACAGTGACCACAGTTGTCTGTTACGCAGGGCATCCAGGTCCGGTTCTGGTGCCTAGGGGCATTTATCCACTCAGTCATTTAACACATATTAACCGAGTGAGCACTTATTTGGGGGCAGCTGGTGCTGGGGGTACAGCAGTGGCTGAGACAGTGTGGTAACAGGGGATTAAGACAATGGACAAGCAGTACTCTGAACCCATGCTATGATGTGGGTGGTTGGCTCGGGGTGGGGGGAGTCACAGACAGCCACGGAAGCACAGAGAAAGGGTCACTGACCCAGCTTCGCCTGGGGAGGGTCCTCGGGGGAGAATTTGGTCAGGCAAGCTGGTGGAGGAGGGAATAAGATAGCGTGTTGGACAGGGGAATGGCAGGTGCAAAGACTTGCCCGTGAGAGGGCGTCTTGGGGGGAAGGTGGTCAGAATGGAGCAAGAAAGGCTTTGATTGTGACCAGTGGGCACTCCTGCTGTTTTTCTGCCCCTTCCCACTCTCTGCTTGGCTCCGCCCCCTTAAAGCTAAAGGCATGTGCCCTAAAGGGACCCATCAACACAGACCCTGAACCCTTTAAGTAGAACAGTCGTGGGGAAACCTCACCACAGCGCTATGAGGTAGGTGGTTCATGGAGGGGAAACTGAGGCACAGAGAACTTAAGTAACCTGTCCAGGGTCATCCAGCTTGTGAGCAGCGGAGCTGGGATTTGAACCCAGGCAGTCTGGCTCTGGAGCCCACGCTCTCAACCTCTATATTCTGCCTCTCAGAGGGGATGGGCTAATAGCACATGGCACATGTAAATGCTCAGGGAACACTAGTTCTTCTAATATTGTCGTTATTGACATGAAATTTAACACGCACGATAACCCCCTGTTGCATATGTAGACACTGAGGCTCAGAAAGGTTGGGTCACTTGCTCAGGATTCCGGACCCCCTCCCCCGACATGCCTCTCTTTCCAGCAGCCCCTGGCTCTCCGCCTGGCCTGGAGCCCAGGCTGCTGGTCTCCCACGGGAACCTTTCTTCCCCTGAAAGCCAGGCCTCCTGCCCTGCTCCTCAGCTCCCCCCAGGCCAGCCTCTCAAGGGGCACCCAATTCCCATTTGACTTATTTAAGGCCAGTGCCCAGTGTGCAGCCCCTGTTAGGTCTGATCCATTTCTCCTTGTCACTGAGGCCCGCAAGACAGATCAGCCCCATTTTTCATCCCTCGCATCTGGGGGCCTTGCCAGGGCTGTGCAGTGTCACCTCTCTTGTTTAATATGTGTGCGGCCATTTGTCAAAATTCTGCCCCCAGCCCCCCACCAGGGAGGAGGCCAGCTCCACGGCAAGACAGCACCGGCCTCTGCCTCCTGGCCCAGCAGGAGAGGAAGAAGGGGCTGCAGGGGCTTGTCGGTTGGGGCTTCTGAGGAGCTCAACGGATGTTGGGGACCAGCTTTCGAGAGCCACACGTGCACAGGAAGGCGAAGGTTCCATGGTTAGGGGTCCACCAGCCTGGGTTCAAACCTCGCCCTGACGGGCACTGCCGGCCACCGTGAGCAGCATAAGGGCGTGGTTGAGGGGCAGCCTCAGGAATCAGGCAGCTTGGGAGCAGATCCTGACCCTGACCTTCACCAGCGGTGGGCCTGGCCAAGTCACTCACCCTCCCTGCGCCTCAGTATCCTCAGCTGTAAAATGGGGACAGCCTGAGTTTCCACGTCATGGGGCTCTTGTGAGTGGTGCTCTAGTTCTCTGTTGATTTATCAAACGTCCTCAGAAAACTTAGTGGCTTAAAATAAAAAATGTGTGATTATCTCTTATGGTTCAGTGGGTCGACCCAACTCAGCTGGGTGTCCTGCTCCGGGCTGTTCCACGATGTTTCAGTCAGATGCTGTCTGGGGCCAGTCCTCTGGGGCCCCGCTGGGCTAGGCATCCAGGGTGGCCCCTCGCAATGCTGGCAGTCGGCGCTGGCTGGCACTGGGAGCTCGGCTGTCAGCGAGATTGGCTTCTCAGGCACGGTGGTTGGGTCCCTGGAGAGTGTCCCAAGAGATCCAAGTGGAAGCTGCAAGTTTGTTTTAGGACCCTGCCTCAGAAGACACGCAGTGTCGCGTCTGCTGCGTTCTGATGGTCAAGAGCGAGTAACGGGGCCAGGGTCGAGGAGAACATGCTGCACAAAGCATGAACCCCAGGAGGTGTGCCTCAGGGGTGGGGGGCATCTTTGGAGACTGTGTGAAATAACGCACATGAGGCACTTAGCACAGAGAATGCGCTCGATGCGTTTTGCTATTAAACGCAAGTGACCCATCCTCTCCGAGTCTCAGCTTCTTCATCTCTAGAGTAGGGATCAGAGTAATGCAGGTCTAATGGGGTTATTATTGTGAGGGCCATGGGACACCCAGCTCTTAAAGTGTGTATACACAGTAAGTGTGAGTGGCAGTGATTATAAATGGTGATAATGACATTGGGCCTTTGGTAATGCCATTGTCACTTTTTTGAGAGACACGTGACCCAAAGGTCCAAGAGGATGACATCGGTGAGCTTGCAGGCAGCCCCTTGCGCTCCGTTCTTCCCAGTCTGCCCCGACTTGCTACTCACGCTTGTTTTCACGACTTTAGTGTTTCCTTGAGATCCAGCCCTGGCCACACCCTCCCCTCACGCCCAGACTCCCCTCCGTGGGCCCCCACTAAGCTGCGGAACCCCATCCCTGCCCTGCACCCCGGTCCCTCCAGCTCTCCTGCCTGCTCCTTTATTTCAGCTCTTTGTCTTAACTCTCTCCAGGTCCACCTATGACAGTGCCAAGGCAAGACCCTGGCAGATGGGGGGCGCGGGGACACAGCAGATGCTTGGTGTGGGGAAGGGGTGGATGAGACCAAGGTTGGTCAGCACCTAACTTTGTACCAGGCACAGCAGGAGGCACTATACAAGCCCTGAGCTTTCCGGTCCTGCCATTGACTCCCACTTGGAGGGGTTGCCATGTCTACTTGAGGGATGAGGACACAGGCTCAGAAAGGGCAAAGGCCCGAGTCACACAATTAGCTTCAGAGGCTCCAAACTGCACGAAGACCAGGGCTGAACCCAGCCTGTAGATGTTTTGTTTGACCTGCCACAGTGGTTTACTTTTTTTTAATTTGCATTTATTTCTGTCATTCAAATTCGTAAAAACTTTATGTAAAAATCCAGGTTTCTGGCTTCTCTTGACTATTGGAAGATATGTCTGTGTCTAGCCTGCATTGCCACATGGCAGCAGTCAGCTTCAGCTGAGTAGAGGCTGCCCCCTTTAGATGAGGCACCTGCTCTCTACTTTACCCAAGTCCCCACTGCTCCCTATTGCCTTCCCTTGCCTTACAATTTCCTCACTTAGTC